GCCCTGGAGCCCTGGTGCTTGCCCTGGTCCTACGTGCTACGTGCTACGGTGGTGGTGTGGTGCTGCTGGTGCTGCTGGTGCTGCATGTCAAAAATTCCGCTTGCCGCACTAGATCAGCACCGACGCGTCCTTCATCATCTGGGCGATCCCTCCCGCACTGGACGCTTTTACCTTCCAAGACTTCCCAAGACTTCCCAGCTTTTTTCCCGCCATGTTCACGGCCTCCCGCACTTCTAGTAGTTGTTTGCTGTCGGGTCTGCTGCCGTCTGCGACGTCGGTGCATGGACCGTTGTACTGAGGCTGAGGAACCAGATTAAATTTAGCTGGACAGACGCGGATGACGAGACTGCCCCACGTTCCCCAGACGAGAGCGGCTTCGAGACACCACAGACATTCGGCTGACGACCTACTACCTTACTTCAAGAGCTCAAGGCAGTCGCTCCCCGCCCGCTCCTGTCTGCCTCGCACCTCCCCCATACCGCATGCGCACTCTTCAGCCAAAACAGCGCAATCCGACTCGCTGGCTGATCTGCCCGTCCTATTCATCCCGAGTAATCACTACCCCACACCATTGGGATCTCCAAATCCGTCTTTCCATCCCGAGTCGAGCGTTATTGAAACGCCCTCGTTCACACCAATGTAAGCGAAGCCGGACGGACGCTGGGAACCGGCCAACCGACAGAGGCATTGACGCTGACCAAGTTCTGCTCCTAGAGCTCCATCCACCTCGAACCTACAGGCGCCCGAGACCCAGACCAAATCAAGATCTGCTTCGTCACCTGCCACAATGCGCCAGCATCACCACCGTGCTTGACAGTCAACGGGAAACATCAAACACAAACTGAGGGCAAACCTCCAGCCGTCCCCAATCAATCGAAGACACCCACCGCCCCGGCAGCCGAACCGCTCCGTCCTGTGATCAGATCCGCGACAACGAAACGCCCATATTCTCCAATTTCCTTGCTCCGCCATCTGGCCATCGACCGATCTAGTCTTCCCCTCACAAGTCACCGCTATAACAGGGGAGGACACGACAAAAAGGAGGGCATAAACTGCTTCCCCAAGGATTGCACGCTGGCGTTCTGGTGTGGGGGAAGCTGCTGTTCGAGTGGCTATAGCATGAAGGGTCCCCGCCTAATCTCGATCTAACCGGCCCCTCCGCAATATACGGGACAGCGGGACGAGAAACGTCATCTCGTGACCGCAATAACTCTGTGAGCGCGGATTGGGATTATCGGAACCTTCCAAATAGCTCTCCAGCCACAGCCAGCCCTTGGGCTTCTGGGAGGCTTCTCCCGCCCCTGCCCAGGCATCATGCGACGGAACCGAACCCCGACTCCTCCGGCCTCGCCTTACCGGGCCCTGGCGCACCACCACGCTCACTATAGCGGGGCAGGAGCTCAGGCCGCGCCACAGCAGGTGGTTCAGGATTCCGTGTCCTCGCTCATCAGGTCATTCAATGTCGCGACGAACCCGACCCGGCCCATGCGCCCCTCGCCGCTAACGGCTTCGACGATTCGAGACATGCCGCTTGACCTAGTCGATCGTATCCGATCTTTTCCCCTTTTCATGTCTGCCCCTGACGACTTTCTCGTCGCCATCGGCGCCCATCTACGACCCCAAATCCACTCCGCCCACGACCACATCCTTAGCGAGGGAGACGAAGCAAAAGCAATGTACTGGTTGGTCCGCGGCGTCGTCGCCGTCACCTCTCGGGACGGCGAGGCTGTCTATGCCGAGCTCAAACCAGGCGCCTTCTTTGGCGAGATTGGCGTGCTGATGGATATCCCCCGCACCGCGACCATCATCGCAAGAACAAAATGCCTTCTCGTCGTATTGAAGAAAGAAGACCTCCAAGCCGAGCTGCCCAAGTACCCAGACATGGAAAAGGCCATCCGGCAAGAAGCCCAGGAGAGGCTGACCATCCTTAAAAAGAAGCGTCAGGAGAGTGGGCAGGCCACCAAGCTCTCCGACACTAATGGCTCCAAACTCGCGCGCGAGATGGCGCCAGGCGAAGTTAGCACCGGAGAAAAGGGCGCCATCACAGAAGGCGCGGTAGTCAAAAGCAAGAAGCGCAAGTCACCTAGTCCGGGTGTGATAGAAGACCCCGCCGTTGGTGGTAGTGCCCTGGGGAGCGGCTATGTCAACGTTCGCAAGACGCTCAAAGAATTACCCCTATTCTCGACGCTACCTCCAGACGTCCTGCACGTCATTGGCCTCAGCGCCCAGCCCAAGTCATATTCGCCATTTACCGATATCGTTCGTCAGGGCAGCCCTGGCAATGAGATCTTCTTCATTGTCCGTGGCGAAGCCGAGGTGATTCACGAAATGCAGAGCCCAACGAACTTGAAGCGACTAACTCGGTCGTCTTATTCGCGTCCGAGGCTAAAGCAGGGCCAATATTTTGGCGAGGGTAGCGAGCTTGGGGCTGTCTGAAGGAAGGACTGCCACTGTTCGGTCCATCACAGCCGTCGAGTGTCTCATGATTGGTGGAGACGCTCTCGATGAGCTCTGGAAGCGCTGCCCGCCCGAGATCAAGCTGCAAGTGGAGGAGACGGCAAGGAAGCGATATCACTCCTCAGATGGCGATGTCGAAATGACCGATGCAGACAGCAACGGTACTTCTGATGACGAACCATCAACCCCAGCCAAGACAGCAGCTTTGCCCCAAGTCACATTTACAACGCCCTCGAAGCCTGGTTCGCCGACCAAGGACCAGGCGGCTGAGACACGGCAGCCTTCGGATCCCGATCCATTCCTGAGCGTTGACATGGAAAATCTCCGCAATCGTCGGCGCAACTCTCTTGCTCCACCGACCCCCCAGACGGATTCCTCCACCATTGTCAGCGGTGTCAAAACAAACACGGTCGAAAGCAGCCCGCTCAAGCTGTTTGCACCCTCCCTTGCAGCCTCAGTCCCCCTCGACGACTCTCCGCTGCCGTCCAAACGGCCCCGGATTGTTCACCGGAGATCACACACTCTGGACGAAATGCAGAAGCCCCTGTTCTCAGATGATGTCTTGCTTTCCATATTCAACCACCTCGATCTTCTCGAGATGATCAGGCTGCGCATCGTGTGCAGGAAATGGCGACGACTGTTGACGGAAAGCCCAAATCTCTGCACGCATGTCGATCTCGGCCCAATCAATCGTAAGGTGACGGACTGGTCTTTGGCCAACATCTTGGGGCCGTTCATCGGTACACGTCCTATCGAGATTGACATTAGCAACTGCTTCCACATCACGGATGAGGGCTTCCAGGCTCTTTATAAAATGTGTGCCAAAAATGTCAAGATCTGGAAGATGCGAAGTGTGTGGGATGTTTCTGCCGGCCAGATCCTGGACATGAGCGAGCACGCCAAAGGGCTTGAGGAGGTCGACTGGAGTAACTGCCGCAAGGTTGGAGACAATCTGCTCGCCCGAGTCGTTGGCTGGGTTGTTCCGGAAATCTTGCCGCAACGCGAAACCAAGAACGTGGTCATCTCCAGCTCAGCAGCTCGTGGCAGGAAGGGATCCCAACACCAGCAGCGGGCGGGCAAGCCAAACGGCGAAAACGCGACGGCTCCCGTCCCCCCACCGCCAGGCACAATCATTGGGTGCCCCCGTCTTAGCCGTCTCAACCTCTCCTACTGCAAGCATATCACTGACCGCTCCATGCAACACTTGGCGGCCCACGCCTGCAACAGGCTCCAATCTTTGTCACTCACCCGCTGCACGTCAATCACCGACGCTGGATTCCAGTCTTGGGCTCCCTACCGCTTTACCGAGCTGACGCATCTGTGTCTCGCCGATTGCACCTACCTGTCTGACAACAGTATTGTTGCCCTTGTCAGCGCTGCTAAAAACCTGACACACCTGGACCTAAGCTTTTGCTGCGCTCTGTCGGACACGGCAACCGAAGTGGTTGCGCTAGGCCTACCTATACTCCGCGAGCTCAGACTAGCATTCTGCGGGAGCGCCGTCAGCGATGCCAGCCTGGGCTGTATTGCGCTGCACTTGAACGAGCTTCGGGGGCTCAGCGTCCGCGGATGCGTTCGAGTGACCGGCAACGGCGTCGAGAATGTGCTTGAGGGCTGCGGGCGACTGGAGTGGGTTGACGTCAGCCAGTGCAAGAACCTGGGCGGATGGCTGATTGGCGGCGGCGTTTCCCGTTGGGGCTTTGACGAGCGAGCCACGGGGCTCAAAGACGAGGGCTGGAAGATTTCGAGTGCATCTAAGCCGCTCCTTACACAAGGAGGGAAGATTGGGCCGGGCGGTGTGAGCGGCGGCGTGCAAAGAGCCGCTAGCAACATCAAAGCCTTGGGTCCAGGGCCCATCATGCGCCCAGTAATCCCACCCAAGGGGGCGACTAACCGCCGGACCAGGAAACCGGTGAGGTTTGTGGTGGAGAAGGGGGCGGGCGGGTTGAGATGATGATACAGTTTCAAGCAGACGGCTTTGTATATGACGACCATGATGACCTACAGAACATTTAATGTGTGCCAGACACGACCAGACGATGTTAATGTCCACGGCGGGTAGTGGCAAGGTTGGATTCCCGAACATATTTCCCCTTGTAAAATAGACGGAGGATAATATTGTGCTGACGATGGAAGTAAGATAGAAGAAAGAAGGGCAATGATGATGGTGGGACTTTGCTTTTTTTGGATAATCATTGTAGGATGGAGAAGTTTAAGGGAAAAGATACCCCGTTTCTTCTGGTGGAAACGCCTCAGGGCAGATGAATGAATATACGACTAGATTGTTTTGGCCTCAACGCGCTCCATTACCTGCAATAATATTGTTGAGAGATAGCCTTTGGCACTACAGACGGCAACCCTGTCGGCAAAATGATAGCCAGCAGCTGTTGTGGGAATATGAGAATGAGAGAGTGTTGGAAGGAAAAGGAGGGCCAAAAAGTCGTTAGCACTGATAACGAGGAAGAGTCGGAGGAATGAGACTGCAGGACAAAATACGAAAAATGAAGAGACGAAAAAATCTCAGAAGGGACGAAAAAAAGAAGCACCCCACGTGGGACTCGAACCCACAGCCTCAAGATTTTACTCCTTAAATCACTGAAATTCGGTAGAAGTCTTGCGCGCTACCATTGCGCCAGCAGGGTGTTCGCTTTGGTTCGACCATTGATTTTGGTTCGGAATCAGCTCGCGGGAAGAGCCGGAGGTATTTTGTTGGAAGAACTCGCTCGGTAGGAGTGTATATTTACTCTCCAGTGGACTCGGGCTGGGCTGGATCCCAAATGGCGGTGGAGGCTGGCACAGAACATTTGGGCACAGATGGCCCTCAAGAAAAAAAAGCCGGAGCCAAGCCCTCGCACAAAATCTCCTAGAATCCTCCTGGAGTTGGTGTACAGTTGGGACAAGACTAAATTTCCTCGGTGGAGCAGCGGAGGAGGGATGGGAAGGTGGGGTTTGGAGGGGTTGGAGGGGCTTGCCTGCCGTATTCCGAGTTCGTGCCGAAGGTTGTTGTTAGGCGTGGGCTTGGCAGATCCCTACTGGGCGGTTGCTGGCTGGCTGGGCGGCGCTGACAAGCAGACCTGGGAGATCGGGTTGTGACTTGACAACGCGATACATTGAGCTTACTCGCAAATCTGACGCTATTCTTACTTACAAAACTACAATTTCAAGACATTTCTGATAATAACGTTTCTTGGGTTCTAGGTAACGAGATTATGGCCTCCCAAGTACCGCCGGTTGTGCGTGTCGGTGTGGCGGCTGTTGTGAAGAGCGCGGACGACAAGCTTGTCATGGGCGTCAGGAAAGGTTCCAGCGCTGGTGAGTTCCGAGATCATTCTTCAGCTTCAATCTGTTTTGTTCCGGCATGGAACTGCCGCATATTGACTGAGCGCTTGGCCAAGTCCTTGTCTTCCACGTTCGATAGAGACTCGGCGTGAAGTGCCCGCTGCCAGCGGCCCGACAACCCCGCTTTCCCTCAGTTGTGTATAATTCCATGTCGTGGAACACATCACATCCTGTTTACAGTTGTTTTCATCTATACAATACCGCGCTTTTTTTAGCAAGGTTGTCTAACTAATCTCTCCTCAGGAAAATGGCAGTTCCCAGGCGGCCACCTCGAGGTTGGCGAATCCATTTTCGAGTGCGCCGAGCGTGAAACACTCGAGGAAGCCGGTTTGGTCGTCCGGGCCGAGAAGATCCTCGCCGTGACAAATGATATTTTTGACCCGACTTCACGGCATTATATCACGCTTTTTGTGGCTTGTCGACGACTGGACGAGGCCCAGGAGCCGCAGGTAAGCATTCAACTAAGTTCCCCCCTTCATTTTCTTGGCTTTCCCTTGTTGGTGTCATTTTTCTCTTGTTACACCGAAGGAGTGCTGACAAACTGCCTTTTTTTTTTTCGCAACGTGCCACAGACACTCGAGCCAGAAAAGTGTGAGGGCTGGTTCTGGACAACATGGTCTGAGATCAAGACCCTTGCCGCCAGCGAAGTCGGCAAACAAAAGTTCTTCCTGCCTATTATCAACCTGCTCAATGAGCATCCTGACATTGAAACTCTTTTTTGATACCACCTTGCATAGCAAAGCTGGCATTCTTGGGCTGGTGGCTACGAATTCGGCACAAAGGCGTTATTACTTACCTATTGTGCCGACTCGGAGACTTTTCAGCGTCTACACTCGGGCCCTTAAATGTAATCGCATCCATGATACCTACCTAGTTAGGTATCGAAAATAGATACGCGCATCACAGGATTCGAACCACTCATGTTCCCGCTTCTGAAAATTGACACGTTCCATGGATGCATTACAAATCAGTGCCCAAGAGACCCAGGCACAAGACTCCCCGTGCTCAGCTCTTATTGGTCCCCTAAACCAGAAAGAATCAATAATGTGGGTGAGTAAGCCGAAAAGGGGACAAATATCTGATACAACATCTAAGTTGCAAAGCTATCCTTTCTTTTATGGATGCTTACCGAGGAGAATTGCAGTACTTGATATGTAGTTGTAAGAGACTTGGAATTCCGGTAGTAGAACTATGTTCCAATTGCGTACTACTACTTTGGGACGGATGGTGGTATTATAGGCCGTTGTTGGCTGGCAAACATCCTCCGAACGGATTTCGTACTCGCTTGCTGGCTGCTGTTGGCTTCACAGTGACGCAACCACTAGGCCAAATCCCCACAGTCGATCCTGACAAATCCAGCCGGAGAGCGGGTTGTTGTACTTGGCCACAAGAAGCTTCGTGAATCCATATGCATAAAACTAGCACCAAACGCCCCACACAGGATCGCCTTATAACAGGGCGGCATATCATACTTAATTTTCCACCCTTTTCCTTTTCTAGCTGACATCTTCAACTACTATCCATATCTCATTCAAATATTCAATACTTCTTTTAAAGGGAGAAAAGTCAACAATCGAAATGAAGGAAGCTGTCGTCGCCCCTGGTATGCCGCCGCCACCACCATCCTTGTCCCATATCCACAGCTAATCCACCCCCCTCCTCAGGCCCAACGGTCAAGATCATCGACTCGCCCATCCCGGAGCCGAACGATGACCAAGTACGCATCAAGATCGTTGTCAGCGGCACGAACCCCAAGGACTGGAAGCTGCCAACTCACTATATGCCCGATCTGGTCATAAACCAAGGTGATGACATCGCCGGCATCGTCGACAAAGTCGGCGCCAACGTCACCGAATTCAAAGTCGGCGACCGCGTTGCTGCCTTCCATGAGATGATAAAGCCCCATGGGAGCTACGCCGAGTACGGCATTGCCTGGAGCCACACGACGTTTCCTATCCCCGAGACGATTAGCTTCGAAGGTAGGTACCTACCCGGGCCGTGCACGCTCATCCTTTCTGTCATAAATACAACGTTAACAACAAACAATTGACCCCCTTTTTCTTTTTTTTGACATGTAAACAGAAGCAGCAACTATCCCCCTCGCAGCCATGACCTCAGCCGTCGCCCTGTACGTCCGCCTCGGCTTCCCATCCCCCGTGCCCGTGGCTGAGGCTCCACACGAGAGCCTGCCCCAGCCCTTGGATTCCACGCCGCTCATCGTCTACGGCGCCGGATCCGCCGTCGGCGCGTTCGCCATCCAGCTCGCCGTGCGCAGCGGCATCCACCCGCTGATCTGCGTGGCCGGCAAGTCGGCCGGCTTCGTCGAGAAGCTCCTCGACCCCAGCAAGGGCGATGTGCTCATCGATTACCGGGCGGGCGACGAGGTCGTGGTCGAGGGCTTGCAAAAAGCCCTCGCGGGCAGAGAAGCTCTCTACGCGCTCGACGCGGTGTCCGAGAAGGGCAGCTACGCCAACATCGCCAAGGTGCTCAGCAAGACAGGCGGTGCCAAGTTGACCCTTGTGTTGAAAGATGCGTTCGATATTGCGGTGAAGGAGTACCCGGAGTTTGATGTTAGCTGGACGATGGTCGGAGCGGTGCATATCGACCAAAAGGAGTTCGGGCGCGCGCTGTACCGCGAGTTCAGTCGTGGCTTAAGCGAGGGCTGGTTCGAGCCGCATCCGCATGAGGTTGTTCCCGGCGGGCTGGAGGGCCTGCAGGTTGCGCTGGATAACTTGAAGAATGGGAAGGCGAGCGCTATCAAGTATGTTGTGCGGATTGCGGAGACGAAGGGGGTTGGGGTGGGAACTAGGTTCGTTTGAAAGACGACGGTGTGATTGTAATTCAATATAATGTATGGTGTAGTAGGCAGAATTCTTTTTATGATATCATTAATTGAAGTTGCTCCAAATTCATGTCTGAACAACTGGCATTTGTTCTGTCTTCGGCTAGACTGTCAAGTTGGGGCTTCATGTTAACTCATGACATCTTGTGAGAAACTGTCAAGGCATTGCTAAAGAAAACACTCGCAGTTTCTCCATGTTAAGTTATGATGTTTTGCGATGTTCTCACAGCCTTGGCATATTATTGAATTTCGCGAAATAACAACCTGCAGAGGTTCTAGACCCCAGAAGCGTCTAGTTCTAGTACGGTCTGCCAACGCGCGGCGGGTTAGGACACTTTTAGAGCCGATCTGCTGATCTGCAAAGGCAAATTCCGATCAAGTGGAAACATCATGCCATGCTGCACGGTGAACCCCAGGGGTCCAGACTTTCACACAATTTCAGAATCAGCTGTGATCCGCGGCGCGTAGTTACGCTATTTGATCTAATTCTGCGCCTCAACTGTCGGTTCGTGGAGGGCTAATCCCCTTTGGGAGAAGCTGGGCATTCAGCTGTCAGGGGTAATGCCGCTCTCCTGCAGGTCTCCTTTAGTTGTTTCTCCCCGGGGGCAGGGCGTCAAAACTCGCAGATTGGTGCCACTGGTGACCATGCCTGCCAGGAAAAGCCCCCCAAAAATGGGAAATTCCGTGGAAACTTCCGTGGGAAACTATTACTTCCCTGTTTCCTCTACGCCATGATCAAATGAAGTTGCTTGGACTGACGGGTTTTTCGTCCTCTCTTTAAAACCAGCCGCCCCCTTTTCTCTTTCCTAGACTCATTGAGAGTCTTTGGTCGTTCATTTTCGCGCCAGTTGCTGGCATCCACTCGCTTTTGCTCCAGGTACCTTGCCTAGCTCAAACGTTCATCCACCATGGAACGCCTTCTCACGCTTGTCGCCTTCTCAGCCGCCTTCTCGGGCCTTGGCGTTAACGGCTCGCCTCATAATCCGGCCTTCAGACGCCGGGCCGTAGCGCAGATTCCGGGCTACGACTTTGCTGGATGCTATACCGAGGCAACCGGTATGCGAGCTCTGACGGGCTCCTCCTTCTTTGATGACCTCATGACAGTGAACAAGTGTGCTGTCGCCTGTGCGGGCTTTGCCTACTTCGGCGTCGAGTATGGCCGGGAGTGCTACTGCGGCGCATCTCCCAACCAGGGCAGCGTCCTGACCGAGCTTTCTGAGTGCTCCTTTCCCTGCCCAGGCGATTCTACCCAGAATTGTGGTGCCGGCAACAGGCTTGATATGTATAAGCAGTCGGCCGCGCCGCCCCCGCCCGCAACACCCACATCTTATGCCTACCGCGGCTGCTACGCTGAGCCGGCCGGCTCTCGTGCCTTGCCTGGCAAGTTCCTGGGATCGAACGATATGACGGTGGCCAAATGTGGCACTTTCTGCGCCAGTTCCGGGTACACTTTCTTTGGTC